TCGTATCCAACCAATAACACATTTACTGTCCGTCCAAAAGAACACGCGGTCAATGTGTCGTGTCATAGCTTCTTTAACATAATTCGCTAGGCGAGCACCTAGAAGGGCAGCTTGCAGTTCAAGCCTTGCTACACTTAAAGCTTTCTGCGGAGCTACTTTCGTCTTGGCCATCAGGAAGGAGCACCGTACGTCGCCGTCGTCATAAATGCTTCTCAAATAGACCACGGCCGCGAAAGCTTCCTCCGAGGCATCACAGAACGTATGGATCTCTGACTCGATCACGTTTTTCTTCTTAGGTTGTATACATCGTGGTACACTTACTTGCTCTAACTCTGGCAGCCTTCTTAACCAAGCTTTCCACTTTATCAGGTGGGAATTAGGAATGGGGTCATCCCAATCGAGACCTAGTAGGCATAATTGTTGTGTTAGGATCTTTGCTTTGATAATGAATGGCGAAGCTAACCCAAGGGGGTCGAACACGCCGGCCAGCTTGCTCAGGAGGCCTCTTCGGGTGTATCTTACATCTTCAACCGGTGCAACTGCAAATGTAAGTTCGTCAGTTTCAGTGTTCCATTTTACACCGAGAATTTTCTTTTCTGGTTCATGTTCGACAAGGTTGGTCACGATGTCAACTTCAGGTTTCGTTTCCTGTCCGAGCTTAGATACTACTTCCGGGATGTTGGAAGTCCACTTCCTTAAATGTAAATCACCCTTTGCTAAGATCTCCTTTACTTGCTGTCTTCTCTTGATTGCTTGTTCCTTAGTCTCTGCAGAGTCAAGATAGTCGTTCACGTACAAGTTCTCGTTAATAGCTCTCATAGCTTCTTCTTGTCCTTGTCCATGATCTTTAGCAGTTCGGCGAGTGACATAAATTGCTTCGCATGGTGACGAGGTATCACCGAAGGCTAATCTGTTCATCTGATAAGTGTCAATGACCTCACTGTTTTTCTCTTTCCACAGAAAGCGATGATATCTAGCATCTTGCTCCTGCAATCTAACTCGGCTAAACATTGCCTCGATATCGGCTCCGAATGCAACATTACCTTCCCGGAACTTTGTGAGGACTTGTGGAAGTTCATTCTGTAGAACAGGTCCTGGGAGTAAAGCATCGTTCAAACATTTGCCTCTGTACTTAGCTGAGGCATCAAAGACTACTCGGATCTTCTTCTCGGCGGATGATTTCTTATATACTCCGTGATGAGGGAGATACCACTGATTTGGTCCATTGAAGTCGTCTTCTTCACCCACTTTGTGCGCATATCCATCTTCTACATACTTGCTGACAGCTTTGCGATAATCTTTCTCATACTCTGGGTCTCGCTCAAATCGTCGTTGCAAGCCTTCCAATCTCTTTTGCGCGACTTCTCGATTGTTCTGAAGCTGTGGTTCGTTTTCTTTCCATAACAAGGGGACCTCGTAACCGGTCTCCAACTTCCTAGTCTCGTGTTCCAGTATATCCAAGGCTCGTTGATCATCATTGGAGTAGTGTGGAAAGTTCGTTGTCTTAGTCCCAAACGACTCGCTATCCCAAAACTGCTTAAAGGCAACATCGAGTTGTTCTGGCTCAGCTCTGGCAACGTGATAGCTGTGGATGTCGCCACGAGGCTTGCCAACCAGTCCGACCGCCATCCAGCCAAAACTTGTCCTTTTGGCTACGGGTTCTTGTGGTTTTCCCATCTTTACATCCAACGGTATCAACAAATCTGCATGATCAAGACCAAGAAGGATATCAATTTCACCACCAACAGCTTTAAGGTTAACATTTTCCAGGTGTTTCCACTTTCTTTTGATATCAGGCCATTGAACAGTTCCAACTGGCTGACAGATCTTTGGAAGGCTCCAGGCTGTGAGATTAACATATTCAGCATTGCCTTGTGGTGTTTTAACATGGAGGTTCACTTGAGAAGACGTTCTTTTGCTTTCTTTTCCTCCAACACCCGAAATGTTGAGCGTGGTCTTCTTTCCCCGCAATCCCAGCTTTCGCACAAAAGATTCTGTGACCAGCGTAGTGTCAGAACCATCATCAAACAAAAGGTTTCCTTTCACTTGAATGCCGCCAGCACCAACGACGGAAACTTCAACAACTCCAAACGCTACACCGGACTGTGGTGTCTTGGTGGTGGTTGAACGCACATTCTCTTCTTGGTGTAATAACGGGTGATGTTTCCTTTTGCAGTTCCCGATGCCGCATTCCTTTTTCTGTGGACAATTTCGAGAAATATGAGATTCTTCTAAGCAACCAAAACAGAGCCGTTTCTCTTTCACAAAGTTGAAACGGTCTTCCGTTGACAACTCTTTGAACTTTGTACAGTTCTCCGTCCTATGCTTGCCATCACATTTCACGCATTTGGCAATATGCTGGCCAAATAAAGATCTTCTGGGACGGTTTCGGTTGTTACGATATTCTTTTCTTCGAGTATTTTGTGGGGGCAATGCACTCCAATAACACCTTCCTCTTGCTCCCAACCATGTGCTGAATGCTTCTAGCGTCATCTTCACCTGACCTTCACCAACTTTTGTCCGCCAGGCCTTTGCATCCTCCTGTGGTAACTTATCAGTCAGTTCATAAATAAGAGACGACACAAATGGAGATTCTCCCATACTATATCGTTTTAGTACAGCAAGGTGACTTCTCGCTTGATCAACGAAGGTCTGGAAACTAATTGCTAAACTGTCCGGGTCTCCGGGATCGACAGCAGGTAGCGATTTCAATACTTGTAGATGAGCTGCTTTAGCGTAGTTGGATGACCATATCTATCCCGTAATAGCATTAGGGCTTCGGCATATCCTTCGTCATCTGGGAATAGACCTGCAATCACTTGGTCACATTCTTTAGAAAGCTTTGTGTGAAGGAATCCCATCTTGGCTTCCGAGGTCATCTTCGTATTGTGTACAAGCGCTTTGAAGAGACCACTCCAGGACAACCACTTCAATGGATCGCCATTATAAATAGGCACATCTGCTCTTACGGGGATTTTTCCAGGGTCCACTGATCGAACATTAACTTTCAGTGTCTTTCGAAATCCAACGATCCAATCTTCTTCACTGGCATTTTCAGATTGGGCTCCCTGTGTCTGGACTTGTTCGAGGTGTTGTACATAAAGTGCAGCCTTTTCTTTACCGCATATCTCTGGTTGTGTTGGCAGGTTTGCAGGCAGTTTTTGTCCGGACTGGTTACACCCACCTCCAATGGCTTCTGACTGTCTTTCAGCTTCCTCTGCTTCTAATTCGAGTCGAGCAGCTTCGGTTCTTTTCTGCTGGGCTAATTCTGATAGGTAGGCTGCTTCATCTTTTCTCTTCTGTTCAGCTTCAAGTTCTTCCAGTTTCTGCTTGTCAGTTTCATCTTGATCATCACCTTCCACTTGGGGCTCGGGGGGTGGACTACTGTGCTGTGAACTAGTCTCTGAACCGATGTATGTCGAGGTCTCACCGGTTCGGTCTTGTAGATGTTCCTGTACCATGCCAGTTATGCAATTTACGTCGACTGTTAAGTCAGTGAGGATATACATGTCCGCGAGTATTTCTTCATCCCCTTCAAGATACTTTTCGAGCTGGTCATTGTAGGCTACTACTTCTTTAAATTTAGTTTGGATGTCATGTAGATTTCTCTTTATAGCAGTCCGACTACGTTTTTCTTCCATCATTTTGTTGGTCGCATTAATATATCTGGTGATCATCCCTATTGCAACACCGTCTTGAAGCGAATGCCTTTGATTGCTTTGGAGAGGGGGGTTGATGGGTCTTCTCTAACATGTCTTGAACTGTCTACCTTCTCAATGTTCTGATCGGCTTGAGGGATTTGGCTTGTTTCTGGGACTTCCTCATGATCTATGTCAGCCTTTTGAGATCTTTTATCCTTTCGTGATCTTGTATTTTCGGCTACAGACATTATTTTATTCCAAAATTATGTCCCACAGTTTCTCAGTTCTGTCTAGTTTTGCTCTGATCCGGCTCGAAGGACCAAAATGTTCACGCCTATGAGCCTCGTTTCAATGTTTGTTGACGACCAACCCACGCGCCTTCAATACTTGTATTTGGGGACTGTATATTAAATGTTACATGAAGTACACACCACTCACAATAACGAACGGTTTTATTTTTCACGCTAAAAAGACAAATATTCATAAACTTACAAAGCGAAATAATACAGAAATACCAAAACATACATATGAACCTTACACAATACATAAATGAATAAACTGAGACTGTCTAAGTTAAAATATTACGACCGTCACATATACGGAAATAAATCAGTCAAATTATGCTCATTTTTACCGTTCAAAAACAGTCAAATCTTCTTGATTCAAGCCAGCCAACAGAGCAATACAAAATCGACAATAATAACAAGTTTTCGCGATCCAAAAGCGTCCAAAACAGCGTACAAAACGACCAATTTCCTTTTAAACAACTCAGTTCTCTTAAAACGTCACGACAACGTTTGTTCTTGAGCCCGCAGTATAATAAACGCATACTTCATATAAAGTTTCTCAACGCCCGTCCATACAATAAAAAAATACTTATTGACTGGGACTTTTGGGAAACGGTACGTTTTGTGGACCCTGGACTGCTGACGTTTCCCGAGCCGTAGCCCCCTCCCTTCCACTACACCTCTGCAATATTTTCGTTTACACCCGGGGTCGTAGCGACCGGAGGATGTAACAGAATAAGAATAAGAATTAAGGTCAGTATTGAACAACGAGATACGAATCTATAATGGGAAAACACGTTTAGCAGCCATCGCTGACCCGACACTCAATATGCGCAAGATAATGTGCAGACGGGCAAAAATTGTTAAGTATATGTCTTCGTCGTTCCTTCGTTGAATCATAGTTACTAGAATAGATGCTTTGGAAACTCATTAAGCTACGGATACACGGGCAATACTTTTCTGGCGATGGCAATGCAATGGTGGTAAAATCGTTGCATTGCCGTCGCGAGAAAGAAATTGCTTGTGTATCATGCTCTGCGACGGCAACGCAAAGCTGCGCGCAATCGTTGCCGAAATTTCAAATCATTTGATTTTCGGCGATGATTGCCGAAAATTGGGAGGTGTGGTCAAGGAAGGTCAAGGTTGATGAATGACACGTTTCTTGACCAGCCAATGAAAAGAGTTATGCAGACATATATTGCAGGCGAAATATTGCAGGTGTAGCCACCTTGTGCGACGGCAACGCAATGCTGTTATCACCCATTGCGTAACCATCGCAGCAAAAATATTGCTCGTGTATCCGAAGCTTTAGAATAACAATATAACTCTATCTATGTTAATCAACGTTTATTCATAAATCTGGTCCTTCACCGTCACGTGCGTGTTGTATTTTTGCTCAACTAACCAATAACAAGGTTTTAAGAAGGTTTTAAGTTACCTATCCGTGACTCGACTATAGGGTAAATTCACTGCCGGGAGTTTCTATTGGTGGATTTGGCAAAAATACAATACACACGTGACGGTGAAGGACCATACTTATGAATAAAAGTTGACCAACATAGATAATGAGTTTTAGTATTTTTGCACAAGTGAACATAACAAATCCTACAAGGCGATTGGTCAAATTTGACGTATTAATCTGTTATATTCACCTACAGGTGAATATAACAAAATCGAAATTTTCAAAATGGCGGCTAGCCGTTTTGTTGAAGTTAGTGATAAAGAAATAAGCGAAATTAAAATAAATTCAGACCAGAAAAACACAGAAAAACTTGTGCAAAAATGCTAAAACAATTATTCGCCTCAGGCTCGGTGATTATCGGGGAATATTCACCTCGAGTTCGTCTCGGCGAATATTCCCCGATAATCACCTCGCCTTCGGCGATTAATTGTTAAATATTGTTATTCTAATGAGTTCCCAAACCATCTGTTCTATTAACTATGGTTGAATCGTTGTCGTGATCAGACTCTCTAGTTATTTGAGACGGCTCCTTAAATTGCCCATTTTCTTATGACAGCGTTACGTTCGTACGAAAAATTTTTCGATTCTAAATTAGTTCCGCATTTAAAATCGTTGTTCTGTGAAAAAGTTCATCAGCAGTGTTACAATTTCTTGTTATCTTAGAACGACACGAGCTACGACTCTGCAATTTGGACTGCAAAAGGAGAAGACCAGATTCAATTTAATTCACACTTCTGGAGTGCTAACGTGACTGAGGTGTGCTTAACCTCGACTGGATTTGGTATTCAACTTCCCGTGAAAGGTCCGTCGCTGCGCAGTTTATTTTTCGAAAACATCACATTGGAAATACCTATAGAACAATGGATTGATGGTATCAAAATCAATATCTCGCATCTAAACTTCACTAACGCTTGTTTTAAAAGTGGTTTCAACGTAGGGGATCCAAATTCTGTTCGTGTTCGTTTAGGAGTTGTCAGCGTGGCTCCTCACGCGGGTAAGTAAGGCCAGGTTCAAGTCGCATTTTGATATGTCGAATACAACTCGCATTAGATTCGAGCGAATTGAATTCATGCAAAATTCGACACCAGTTTCAAACAAATTTTGAAACGTCGAATTTTGCATGCATGGAATTCAATTGGAAAGACGTAAAGCTTGAGACATTAATCTCGTTTATAAGAATATTAAGGCTGAAATAGGCAAGAACATCTTTCAGAGGAAAGTATGAAAGTATATGCTATGCTGTCATTGCTGCGATGAATCTATTACAAACAGCTGGAAAAGTACCTTGTGGTACTGTACCCCTGAAATTTAAGAATGCCGTAAAAATATTTTATTAAGCCCAAATTTATCAAAGCTACAGCTACAGTTTTGTAAATGTAGTCAACTGCAACCACTTCGCTGTTACGTCCCATGCATCCTTAAAGGACATTGGCGACCAAAATTTTTATTGCCTCATCTGAAAGAGCATGAAAAATAAGCCGGTTGGCCGTTTAATGCTCTATTCTATCTCATCTAGTTCCGAAGTTATACGAAAAAATGTGCAAAATATAAATTGCTGATTCAGCACAGAGTGTGACGTCATTAGTTGGGTAAGTATGTTTATTGAATAGTAAACTGAAGCATAGCTCAGTTAGTATGGGACCAAATCAAATGAAATTTTGCATACTGATTGTACATGATGAGACGCATTGAAAAACGCTTCTAATTTTGTTGCCAAGGTAACAATGTCGTTCGCAGGCCCCTTGCGCCAATTTTATAAAACAGCTTTATTCATGGTACTGATTAGGTTAAAATAATATCAGAAGTATGTGTACCATACCTATGCATGCCAAAAGTCTACTTGCATGATAATAATTCGAAAATGACATACACATAGATAAATGCAACTAGTTATTCAAAATCAGTGTAAGGGGCATGGGAACGACTGTGTTGCCTTGACAACAAAATTAGAAGTATTTCCCATGCGTCTCATCATGTACTATCTGTATGCAAAATTTAATTTGATTTGAGCTAATAATAACTTAGCTATGCTTTAGTTTACTATTCAATAAACATACTTACCCAACTAATGACGTCACACGTTGTGCTGAATCAGCAATTTATATTTTGTACATTTTTGCGTATAACTTCGGAACTAGATGAGATAGAACAGAGCAACGGCCAACCGGCTTATTTTTTTATGCCCTTTCAGATGAAGCAATAAAAATTTTGGTTGCCAATGTCCTTTAAACGATAGTAATTCCTAGTTTTAAATTTAATTTCGTCTAGGTTGTAGCTTATCCGTGAAGGCGATTGGCGTCGGTATAAAGGTTGCTGGCAAGGATTATGGCAGCGTGCATGGCTTGTACGCCAACACAAATAATCATATAAGTGATGTGTCTTATCAGGACGTCACCGTTTATGTCCGTTCGCGTCCTGACCCGAGTGAAACTGTGCCAACTATGATGATGCCGTAGTGATTTTTTGTAAACAGTATTATTAGGATATAATCTCGAACAGTCTGTTCCAGTGTAAGAATAGCGACGATAACAAGACATGCTGCGGAATTAGAGAAATACAACCACTGAACTATAAGTAAACTGGAAGGCTAACTCAGGGGGGGGGGATTGAAGCCACTTCAAGCCAGTACATTTTAATTTTCTGAGTTATGAGCAGAAATATTCAACACTGAACGTTGTGCTGTATATGAAACTGAAGCTATTGAAAAACGCTATTTGGTGTAGAAATTTCAAGACTTTAGCTAAAAGGGAAATATTTAAAAACTACAAAAATAATTGCGGATAATTTGCCGTTCTTTGGCCGAATGGCGGTTGTTTTTGTATTTTTAAAATATTTTTCTTTTCGCTGAAGTCTTGAAATTTCCACACCGAATAGCAATTTTCAATAGCTTCAGTTTAATATATAGCCCAATGTTTGGGATCAAGCTAATATTGCTCAAAACTCAGAAAAACTATTTTGGCTTCAGCAAATCATAGGCCTTCATCATAGCAGTTAGCCTTCCAGTTTATTTATAGTTCAATGGATACAACTACTTGAAAAATATAAGCAGAAGTTCGACGTTTCGAGCGAAGGCCCTCGTTGGGCTAACTCCTAGTGTAATGGATTTGATCTAGACAAGAAGAACGAAATCAATTACCACAGCTGGAAAGAGCATCTTAAAATGAGTGCAATTGACCATTTGCGTAATAGACTAAATTTTGATCTAGACAAAAATTTCATCACAGCTTGAAAGAGCATCACAAAATTAGTAATATTCCAAAGTTTCGTTGCGAAATGTTGTAAAATGCGGAAAATATAGCCTTGCGAAATTTGCAATTTTCAGTCATTTTAGATTACAAACCGGAAATTGACAGCCTCGAAGGGTTTGAGGCTGTCAATTTCCCGTTTGTAATCTAAAAT